TTTTTTTTTTTTTTTTTTTTGTGATGGGTACCGGGGATCAAACTTCGGTCCTTGTGCTTTTGAGGCAGGCAGCAGACCCTCTGAGCTAAATCCCCAGCTTAAAAGAGTTTTTAATTAACAAAGGAAGTTGAAATGCTTTTGCTGTGCCAGCTGATATGAGCATCTCTCTAAATCTGTGAGCATGATTACATCTACTTATCTGTATATTAATGCAGTCTAATATGCTACGAACAGATCCCACTTGATCATGATGTGTAATCTTTTTTATAACATTGTTGAATTTTATTTACTAATATTTAATTGAAGATTGTTACATGACTGCTCATTAGAGATAACTAACTACACCTTGTGGTTTCTTTGGCTTAGGTATCAAGGTGATATTGGCCTCAAAAATAATTTGGAAGAATTCCCTCTTGCTTTATTTGGAGGAGTCTGAAAGGTTGGCAGAATTCAGTTGTAAAGCCATCTGGTCCTGAGTTTTCCTGTACTGAGAGGTTTTAATTACTACTTTAAGTTCTTTATTACTGGTCTGTTTTGGCTGTTTTTTCCTGATTCAACTTTTACAGGTTGTATTTTTCCTGGAATTTATTTGTTTCCTCTACATTACCACATTTGGTGACATATAACAGTCTTTCTATGATCTCTTTTACTTCTAAGGGGTCATGTTTCCATTCTCATTTATGATCTTACATATCTGAATCTGTTCTTATTCTAAGAGTTTGTTCATATTAAAAAAATTCATAGAACTGATTTTTTTCCTTTGGTTTTCTATTCTTTATTTCATTTTTTTTTTCCTATTCTGATTGATCCTTATTATTTCTTCCATTCTGCTAGCTTTGTGTTTAACTTTTTTCCCCTTGTTCCTTTAGGTGTATTGTTAGGTCACTTATTTGGGATCTTTCATTTTTTTTTAATGTTGGCATATGTTGGTATAAATTTCCCCATCTGGCTGGACATGGTGGTGCATTCCTGTAATCCCAGCACTCAGGAGGCTGAGGCAGGAGGATCACAGGGAATTTGAGGCCAGCCTGGAAAACACAGTAAGTTCAAGGCCAAATTGAACTGTACAGGTGAGACATTTGTCTCAAAAAAATAAAAAACAAAACAACAAACCCAGAAAAAAAAATTTTCCCCATTTGAACAGCTTTTGCTATATCTCTGGATTTTTGGCATGCTGTTTCCATTTTCATTTGTCTCAAAATATTTTGTGTATGCATGTAGGTGTGGGTGGGTGGGTGTTATTAAGGCCTTTATACTGAGCAATATCCCTAACCCTTTTAAAATTTTGATACAGGATCTTGCTAAATTGCTGAGTTGCTCAATGTGGCTTGAACTTGTGACCCTCCTGCAGTGCTGGGATTAGAGGCATGTATCACCACATCTGGATTTCAACATATTTTAAATTCCCCTCTGAGATAAACTACTGATTGTTCAGAAACAGGCCATTTAAATTTCCACATGTATGTGAATTTTCCATAATTCTTCTGATCATTGATGTTTAATTTCATCCTACTATGGTAAAAACTAATACTGTGCCTGCTAACTGTGGGCTGGAGATGTGGTTCAAAGACAGATTCACTTCCGAGCACTGCAAAAACCAAAGCAAACCAAAAGCAAAACAAAACTAAACAAAAAACATACTATGATTTAATCCTCTTAAATTTGTCAAGACTTGTTTTGTGGCCTGAAGGAGTATTCTACTGCTATGGGATGGAAAGTTTCATATATATACCTGTTGGGTTCTTTTTGTTTAAAGTGCTAACTACCCCCACCCTGGTATCTGGGATCGAACTTCCGTTTTGTCCATTAATGTTTATATATTTATGTGCTTCTGTATTCCATGTATAGATACTTAATGACATTATGTCCCCTTGATGAATCAGACCCTTTATTATTAAATGGTAACTTTTTTACAATCATTTCTGACAGTTTCTGACTGGAAGTCTATTTTACTGCTATAACTGTACGCACCCCTGCTATCTCTTGGTCACAATTCACATAGCATAGCTCCTCTTCCTTCACTTTCAGTATATATGTGCCAGTGAAAACTTTCTAAGAAGGCAAGTGATATACCAAGAAGCCCCCTGGTAGAAATCAGGCTGGTAGAATGTGCTTGGTTATCAAAGGACAGTAGACAATGCCATCTAGTTTCCTTAAACAGACTGCCAGATAGTGCTTGCAGAGTCTGAGATCAATCAATGAATGATAAAACTAAACCTGTTACTTTCACTTCTAAAAAACATTGCTCATCAACCAGAAATGGTGGTGCACACCTATAATCCCAGAAATCAGGAGGCTGAGGTTGGAGGATCACAAGTTAGAGGCCAGCCTGTGCTACATAGTGAGTTCAAGGTCAGCCTGAATTACATACTGAGACCCTGTCTCAAAAAGTGCCAATCAACCAATCAACCAACCAACCAAATAAACCAAACTAAATCAAAACACTGCTCCTCCTCTTGTACTTCTTGTGAGTGGATCACAGTCTAGCCAAGCATTCAAGCCTGGACTCATACTCAATTTCTCACTCTGAGAAGCAGGATATTCCTGGACAATTAAGAAAACACGAAGGCTTTCTATGGGCAAGGCCTTATGGTGGATCATAACGTACATCAAGAACACAGACCTCTGGATCTCTGGGGCTCTCATAAATAATAAGGTATGAATGATTGTATAATTGGCAACTATTCCTAGGAGTAACACTGGAGGCATTTTATCTGTTGATCAAGACATTTTTTTAGCTATTTCCTTATAAAAATAAAAAATAGTACTCTAGAAAATATTTTACAAAAGATTAAGATGAGAGACTTTGACAGAAAAGATTAAAGATTATAAAATTAAAAGCATAGGAAATCATGTTATTAGTACTCATATTGGTCCTAATGATTAGAAGGTAAGGTTTTAATATATGCATGTGGAAAAGAATGAAAACAGAACCAAAACAGAACTTTTAGAAAATACAGCCATTAAGCTGGGCATGGTGACACATCCCATAATCCCAGCACTGCAGGAAGACAATAAATTCAAGCCCATGCTTGGCAACTTAGTGAGTTAGTGAGACACTGCCTCAAAAATTTTTTAAAGATCTGTGGATGTAGCTCACTATGAATACTCTGGGTTCATTCCCCAGTAACACACACACACACATCCCAAATATAGCCAATGATACTAAATACCAATTGATGAGATAAAAGCACATTAGACAAAGAAATGTACTATCTAAAAGATGGATTTGTTAAGAAAGGATATATGACTGGAGAGAGGCATACCAGCCAGACTAGACTGATTATTTCTATCTCTCATCATTTTTATACTACGTATAAGTTGTTTTCTCTCTAACATCATCCCTACCAAATGTAGTTCTTTTCTTTAAATGGGGATAACTCCATAGACCTCATTAGATTAACATGAAAATTAAGCTCATGAAGACCAGGTGTTAACCCAATGCTTGGCAAAGAGCTGTGCTGGTGAACCTGTGGCGTGCGTGCCACAGCAGGCTGTTTGTACCACTGAAAGCTCCAAAAGGCTCATCATTACTGGCACAGAGTAAGTGTTCTGTAACTGTACTATTTTTATTGTTCTAAGCAGATGTGAAAGTCTCTTAAGTCTCGATGTCCTCAGCTGTAAAGTGGGGATAATGCAATAGTTCTGTTACTTACCAAGGTTATTTTGCACATCTGCATGGTTACAGTTTGTATTTTGTAGGTGAGAAAACTGAGGCTGATATAAATGGGGTCAGAAATCTGCCCAAGGTTACAGAGTCAGCAATGAACGAGAACTGCAGATAAGCTAACTGCAAAGCCTCCTCTCTGAAGTACTGCACTGCAGAAAAATCATACTCTTCATTCTGAAACCTGTATTTGAAACTTCCAGCAGTGATTTAAAATTGTTCAAAACTTAGTATTAACTCTAAGAACCTTCTATTCTTTATCCCTTACCTTTCCTGAAGGTAACTGGAGACTGTATAGCTTTCCTTACTGCTGCTTTGGTTTCACCCACACTCTTCTGGATGGTAAAAGTGGCAGTTCCTAGAAAGCAGACACGACTGTTTAACCTCCCATATGCAGCCATGTTTTTTTTCTTTTTTTTCTTTGGTACCCGGAAAGTCAGGGACATAGTAAGCCCATAAGCAGTAAACGCCTATATAAAATGCCAAGTTAACTTCTATCAAGAGAATGATTAAGGTTTCTTTCTGTTTTGCAGTATTGGAGATAAAACCCACCTATTAATATCCTTGAACAATAATTTGTTCATGTATACCTATTTGGAGGACAAAAAAAGCTAAAAAGTCATTTTTTTCACTTGTTCCATTTTTCAAGTATTTCATTTGTTCAATGTGGGGGTAATGTAGGGATGAGGAAGAGAATAATGCTATACCCTAGGAATTTAGTCTATTGGGGACTTAAAAAGTTTACAAGCAACTAGAGCATAAGACATTGTTGTGCTCCAAGCGGGGTATAAAGAATGTGATAAGGGCTCACAAGACAGAAAAAATAACTATTTTAGTCACCATTTATCACTAGTTTTCACAACAAATATGTATTAGCCTCAATTCAGAAATGATAATGGAGAATTTATAACTGAATATATCAAGTTCAAAGAATTAAGATCAGCAATGTCTTCAAAGACACAGAAATAAATGATACTTATTCATAAACCCTAGAATTTCACCTAAGGAATGGGAGTACAAAAGCATGGTGTATGGTTGGTGAGCTGTAATGCATCCCTGGTGACATGGGGAGAGGAGGTAAAGGAAGCAGGAAGAACAGTTGGAGGATGGTATGAAGGCCAGGCAGAAGGTCTGGACCACTGCAGGCTTTTGAGCCATAGCAGTGAACACGGCCACACAATCCCAGGGAGCAGGGAGAGGGCCAGAGGGTGGCCGAGGCTGCCGCAGGCAGAGTGAAAGGTGACAATGAAGGCCTCACGTGGGACAGACACAAGAGGAAGACATATTTCCACGTAATCCAAGCCTTTCTCACCAGACATTAAGAAACCAAGATTCAGGGCTTTAAAACTTGGCCAATTTGGGAGAATTTATTCAATTTTGGGAAATACATCAAGTGTGAAAAAAATTTTTTAAAAGAAAGCATGGTTCATTACTTTGAATTCTAGTTTAAAAAGAGCAGTATTTTCTTGCTGAAATTTGATAATCAGAAGCAAGAGTTAAATTTTATCAAAAGGACCAGAATTCAGGGAATTTCTATATTCTGAATTGAGTCAACATACTGAGGTAACAGGTTCCAAGTGTATAGATTCTGGACCCAGGCTGGGATTAAATTTTTCACTTTACTACTTCTTAGCAGTTGTTATTTAACCTTTCTCTGTCTTGGTTTCCTCATCTTTAGAATGAGAACATAATAGTATCCAAGTCAAGGGTTGTAATTAAAGAGCATAAACAGAACTTGGCACATAAGTTAGTTACTAGAATTTTCAACATTTCACATTTGTACTACATTATCATCTATCTTTGTACATTTTTAGTGTACAGGCATTCTACACATAAATGTGGTCTACTTTAGTAATCAAAACCCAAATATAGTAAAATTAATTAAGAAAAGCTAGCTATAAATAACAGATACATCTCCAAATGTGGAAAAGGATGACTACTTCTTTACCAGATATATAAAAGAAGATTTCCCAGTAACTTACAACAAATTCCTGTTCAACTTCCATTACAAAAAGGCAATTAGTTTAAAAAGATTCACAGGGCCTTTCTTATTTCAAAGCAAAAAATAGTATCATGATATAGCAAAGTCTTTTACTAATGCCTTAGAGTCTGTTGAAATCAGAATCCCTTTTTACTAAGATTTATAGCTTTTCCTAATGAAACCGCAACACTGGAGATAAGAAGGGACAGGTACTGATCACACTAGATAAAAGAGCTGTAAATGGGGAGGGGAAGAAGAGTTGAAGGGAAGGGAGCAGAATGGGAAAAAAGAATTAAGACATATTATGTACAGGCAAAAATTCCTTATTATGAATGTGATCATTATGTATGGCAAATATGTACTAATAAAAATAAACTACCCCCCCCCAAGACCTTTAAGTTTTACCATGTGGCCGAAGTGAGCCCTGAGGTTGTCCAAGAGGTTTCCTTGTATGGGTATAACTTGATTTGGATACATATCTGACTTTTCCAGGTCGATTTATTGGAAAATTGTGTTCATGTTGATTCTCTCTGAAGCAGAAATTACACTATTATTATATCCCTAGAATGTCACATCAGTGATAAAATTTAGTATTTCAACAAGCTCATATTATAGCCCAGATTAATATATTTACTTAACACTATTCTGTACCTGTGTTACATTTGTTGATAACCCACAACAAATTATTGTCATTCCTATCTCAAACTTAATTCATTTTTTCAAAGAAACTGCTTTTAGTTATCTCACTACCCATTTCAAATTCTCCATATATTTGGCAGTTATTTAGGTACTTAATCACTTGCTTCATTCTAATCACCTGCTTAATTCTGAAAAAGATTCAAAGAGAACTTTTGGTATTTTGAGTAAATGCCATAGCAACCACACAGGTGAACTGATTATATCTGAATCTGTACTGGTAGCATTTCTTATAGCCTTATAAGTTATGTGATTATGTTTATAATTCTAATCTTTACTTTGTTAAAGGTGGTAATTTTTAACAAAGTGTCACGCTTATAGCACAGATCATCATGAGACCTAACTCTGCATATCTGTTTGCCATATATAGGAAACTTTAAAACTGGATACTTTAACATTCTATATTTAATTTACTTCCGCCTGATGGACTTATATCCAAAATTTAAGGTGAAATATACAACAGTGCCACACTGGATGAATATAACTAGGCAGGGCAGGGAGGGCAGCAGCAGGAGAAATGGCCAACTGCTGGGGGCTGACTGTTCTGCGAAGACCATGGGTGAAGAAACAGGATATAGTTAGGAGGAAATAAAAGAAGCAAAGCTTAACATAAAGTGTTATGTCTTGTCTACATGTCTCCTCAAAACCCCATGGGCTTACAGCTTGGGGGTTTTTGGAAGTGGCTGATCTAAGTTGTGTGAACTTGGATTATAGGTACATGATCCCTTGATCACTAAATTAGCCCACTGATTGGTTTAGCATAGTTTGGCCTGTGGGTAACACCACCCAAAATGCTTGTAGCCTGGATGACATAAAAGGGAAACGGAGGCTTATTGCTGCTTTGCTTTGCTGCTTGCTCCTGTTGCTTCCTGCTTACCCTGCTATGGACTGTTTCTCCTCTGCCATTCCCCTCTGCCTCCCTACCCTGGAGCCAGCTAATTGTGGTCTAAAACCTCTACAAACTATAACCTAAAATAAAATTTCCTTTTTTTTTTTTTGGTACCAGGGATACAGTCTCCTCCTTTAACTTTGGGTGTTGGGTATTTTGCCTCAGTATTAAGAAAAGTAACTGACATTAAAGAAAAAATAAGACTGAACAGATATAGAATTTTGTACTTCAGGTGTCTTGAAGTGCTTTGTTCAGTATAGTTAGATATGCCATAGCATTTTGCCTTTTCCTTTCTTGAGTCTATAAATTATATTATAAAGTCCTCATAATTATAGGGCTATGACTTTTCATTTTGTCATCATGACTTTAAGCAAGGTAGACGCAATACACTGAATTTGGTTCGCAAAAGTCTCAACAGGCCTCTCATTATTTTGCCAAATGACATGCCTAACTTTGTCTTACCGCCTAGGAGAAGGGCAGCGTTGCTGTCCACAATGCTGAACAGTGCTGGGTTTGTTAGACAAAGGTTTCTGTGTAGTTGCTGGTAGATGTGCTGACTCTGACAGTAGTTCATTCATCAGACTGTATGCTTGTGAGAGTCTCTGACTATAGTGGTTAGAGAGTAGCAATCTTTAGAAGAAACAAATAAATTAATTAAACATCATTTATTCAATCACTTTCATTTCATATTTCTAGAGGGGACACAGTGCTTTTGCTTTTTCAATGTTTTTCAAGTCCTGTTCATCAGATATCTGAAGCCATTATGCAGTATAGAGTATTGTTAAAGGAGACTATGGTACGGACTTTGAGGCATTTCCTCAATGTACATACATAGCTGGGTTGAGAAAGGGAGAACTGCAGAAATAGGTCATAAAAACTGAATGGCACAAATAATATTTTTAAGCAAATTCTGAAATAAGGCTAACAATAAGATCTCCAATAATTTTCTATTTATTGACCAGAAGAACTTCTGTAAACAGTGCAATTCTGAAAGCACAGTCTATGCCCTGGGCAAGAGGTAGAGAGAATGCCCAAGGCACAGCTACCAAACTTACCTGTCTTTTTCATGCTTCATCTTTTGTCTCAGCCTGATTTCCCTTGAAGTCATGTAAAACTGCAAAAGAAATATCCAGTTAATTCATTACTGTTCAGTCCAAATAATTAAACCATTAAACATAAGTCAGTTATTTAGGAAACAATATAAAACAGTGTCATATCTGATAAAGCTTTCTATCCTTATACAAAATATGAAAATGTTAAATTATGTAATTAATGTAATATCTAGGTTAATAAATGAAATATAAAATGTATTTTACTAGTTAATATATTATGTGAAAAGAGAAGAAATTTACTGAGCTATATACAAAACAGAAAATAATATTTTAGGGATGAAGACACCCAAAGCTTATAAATAATCATGTGATTAATCTCATTAACAGGCTGGCTGAAAAAGCAGAAATAACCTTTTTTTGGTACTGGGATTGAACTCAGATCCTTGCGCTTGCAAGGCAGGCCACCGAACCGCTGAGCTAAATCCCCGGCCCCAGAAATAACATTTAAAATAATCATTTTAATACTGTAAAATGTTTACCAAAAATCTTTTGTAGTGAGTTCACTGTGACTTGTAAATACAGTGGTATCTTGGTTCACAAATGCTATTATTTGCAAATGATCTGGTTCACAAACAGAAGCATTTAGCAAAATTTTGTTATTGCTTTCAAACTCTGCATCAGGTAACTAAGACGACATAGTCATCTTTTCCAGAATTGTAGAACAAATTAAATTTGTAAACAGAGGTATCACTGTATTTCAAAATATATTTACCAAGAAGGAAAATGAACAAATGTCAGTTATTTTGGAAAATTAAGAATTACTGTTGTGGGCTGGGGATTTGGCTCAGTGGTGCTGCCACCTGCCTCACAAGTTCAGGGTCTGCAGTTCGATCCCTGGTACCAAAAAAAAAAAGAGAGAGAGAGAATTACTGTTGTAGGGCTGGAGATGTAGCTCAGTGATACAGCACTTGCCTTACAAGTTCAAGGCCCTGGGTTTAATCTCCTTCACCATACCAAAAAAGAGAAAAAAAAAGGAAGGAAAGAAGGAAGGAGGGAGGGGGAATTATTTTGAGTTGCATGCATCTTTTAATACATAATTATGTTTGTAAAAAAGGGCATCCAGAAGTAAATTCACTTTCGGAAGATGCTAAAGAAAAATAGTCTACAACAAACTAAAGATCTTGCTGATTTCAAAGCAAGTGAAAATTTTAATCATATTAACTCATTAATCCCATACCTTCACCCCAATAGAAGCTAAAAATAACCAAGTGTTTATGAAATTGAGCATGACATCACAAGGCCTATGAACCAAACAGCTCTTATGCCTTTGGACACAATTCTAACAATCTTGAGTATTCACTTAGCTGACAGGGAAGGTGGAATTTGAATTCATCCCTCATGGGCCAGGGGAACACACACACACGCACACGCAGTAATATAAACACACTTTAACATTCTGGCCATGTACCTCAGGTAGTTCTGAGGTTCCTTATCTTGTCTGCCAAGCTTATCAAGAAAAATGTTAATTTAGCACCAATATACTCTTTTGAATAAATTACATATTTTAAATAATAGTTCACCTACTGCATCGTGTGGAGCTTAAACAGGACAACCTTACTTGGAAAATTCACTTACAGAATTTGTTCTCCAAGAAATGCTTTAAAAGTCAAGTGCCATTATATTTCATTTTATTTCAGATTACAAAGTAAGATATAAACTATAATCAATCAATCTAGTGCTATTTATCTAGTACTAGGGATCAATCTTGGGACCTTGCGCTTAATCCCCAGTCCCAAATGTAATTTATTTATCATCTAAATATAATTTTTAACCTTCACGTTAAAATCAGGAACAAGACAAGGATGCCCACTATCACCACTCCTCTTTGATATAGTTCTGGAAACATTAGGCACAGCAGTTAGACAAGAGAAAGAAATTAAAGCAATAAAGATAGATAAGGAAGAAGTTAAATTGTCATTATTTGCTAATGATATGATACTCTACATTGAAGAGCCAAAAAATTCCACCAAAAGACTCCTAGACTTAATTGACACTTTTAGCAGAGTAGCTGGATACAAGGTCAACACTCAAAAATCAATAGCCTTCTTGTACACAAATAACAGACTCACTGAGAGAGAAATTAGGGAAATAATTCCTTTCACAATAGCATCCCAAAAAATGAAGTATCTAGGAATCAATCTAACAACAGAAGCAAAAGACCACTACACTGAAAATGACAGCAATCTGAAAAAAGAGATCGAAGAGGATATAAGAAAATGGAAAGATATCCCCTGCTCCTAGGTAGGAAGAATCAACATAGTGAAAATGGCCATACTACCAAAACTGCTATCCAGATTCAATTCAATGCCAATTGAAATTCCAACACTATATTTCACAGAACTAGAAAAAAGAACCCAAAAATTCATTTGGAACCACAAGAGACCTAGAATAGCAAAAACCATCTTAGGCAACAGACACATGGCAGCGGGTATAACAATTCCCAATTTGAAACTATACTACAAAGCCACTGTGATAAAAACAGCATGGTACTGGCAAAGAAAGAGGCCTGAGGATCAGTGGAACAGACTGGAAGACACAAAAACAAACCCAAATATACTCAACTACCTCATCTTTGACAAAGGAGCTGACCATCCTCAGTGGAGGAAAGATAGCCTCTTTAATAAATGGTGTTGGAAAAACTGGATTTCAACCTGCCACAGATTAAAACTAGACCCTTATCTTTTACTATGCACTGAAGTAAAATCCAAGTGGATTAAAGATCTAAATATTAAAACAGAAAAATTAAACTTTCTGGAAGATAAGTTAGGCAGAACTCTGGAAGACATTGGCATAGGAAAACACTTTATGAACAAATCCTCAGTAGCACAAGAACTAGCAGAAAGAATCAACAACTCTGATTGTATCTTATTAAAAAGTTTCTGTACTGCAAAAGAAACCATCAACAGAACTAAGAGACGACCTACAATGTGGAAAAAAATTTTTACCAGCTGCTCCTCAGACACAGGACTATTATCTAGAATATATAAAGAACTCAAAACAATCAGCCCGCCCAAATATAAAGACCCGATTCAAAAATGTGCTTCTAAAATGAACAGATATTTCTCAAAGAAGTAAAAGTAGCAAGTAAATATATGAAAAAATGTTTCATATCACTGTTCATTCAAGATGCAGATGAAAACAACACTGAGATTCCACCTCACCCCACAAAGAATGACTGCTATCAAGAAATCAATAACAAATGTTGGCAGGGTTGTGGGGAGAAAGGAACCCTTCTCCATTGTTGGTGGGAGTGCAGACTGGTGCAACCACTATGGAAATCCATATGGAGATACCTCAAAGAGCTGGGACTAGAGGTTCCATTTGACCCAGCCATCCCTCTGCTGGGAATCTTTCCAAAAGAAAGGAATCATATCACCTTGATATGTGCACACCTATGTTTATAGCGGCACAGTTTGTAATAGCTAAATCTTGGAAACAGCCCATTTGCCCATCAGTTGGAAATTGAATAAAGATGTGTTTTCTATAAAATGGAATACATAAAGAATGAGGAATTAGATTCATTCATAGGAAAATGGATACATATTGAGGATATACTCCTAAGTGAAATAAATAAGTCACACATGTGTAAATACCGAATAATTTCTCTGGTGTGAAAAGGTATAATAGTACATAAGATCCTAATGAGATAACTGACCATGTGAAATGGGAAGAAAAGGGCTAAAGGTGTAGGGAAAGTGGGAAGGGTAGGGGAAAGGTAATAAGGGAAAAAAAAAATAGGAGAAAATGAAAAAATGGAAATAAAGTGTTTGTAAATGGGGAGGCGAAGAGGTATTGAAGGGAGGGCACGGACAAGGGGAAAAAAATGAGAACCAAGACCTGTCATGTAGAGGTACAAGATCTCAATAGTGAATATAATTGTACTGTATACCTAAAATGTACCAATAAACTCAATAAAAGAAAAAAATATATAATTTTTATAGTAATGTTATTAACAAAGTAACTACTTTTTTCACCTTTTGAAGGCAAAAAAATACTCTTGATCTGGCCCTGGGATGTCCATATTCAGGGCTCAGCAAATAAATGCTGACGTTTTAATTGGTATTTTTAAAAAAACCACACACACATACACATACATAGAAGTGCCACTGTTCTTGCTGGCACATGATTACCCCATAATTTTTATTTTTTGTATTCTTTGTACGTAACTTATAGATAGAAAATCAAGTTTTGAAAATGCTTTTAATAGACACAGTCAGTTGTTCATTTTGCCACTGACTCTCATTGAAAATTAAATAACTGGTCTCCCAATCTCTCAACCTCCTTATCTGTTTAAAATGCTGCAACCAATATTAGCCAGAGGGAAGCAAGAAATTTGAAATTGTTTAGTAAACAGTGTGCACAATATCCTGCTACATGGTTGTTAAGATGATTTCTTAACCTTTCTTGACTTATGTAAAATGGTGATGGTTCTATCTTCCAATAAAAAAGGCATTCAAGTTATGTTAAACTTTTTCTGAGTGTTGGCTAGGAAAAGCTATACAAACCCCATGACAATTCCATTACCCTTGATACTGCAGACTTACTGGACTGCCTCTGGGGCAGAAAGGACTGTGTTCTCGCCCTCTCTTTTCTGCCAGCTGATTTAAATATTCTGCCATTCTTTCTTTCCTTTTTCTTTTCATCCAAACTCGAATTTCTCTTCTCTCTTTATCAGTTCTTTGTGGACAGCTGCCAGAAGAATGTGGAATCCTGAAAAATTTAATGGGTAAAGCATCACTTGCTTTTAAATTTATGATGCAGATAAGAAGTATCATAACTAAATAAAACTATTTATGTGGAAAGACTGTCCCATTTTGAAAGGAATACACACTTATACACTCTAGTTATCATGCTGCATTTGTTCTCTGAGCTTCAAAGAAAATGGTCTCATTGATCCCTGGTACCAAGAAAAAAAAAAAGAAAAGAAAAAAAGAAAATGGTCTCAGAAGGGGCACAAGTTCACTGTAACATTTGCTTCAAATTATTTCCCTCTTTAAACTCTCTTACCTTTATCTTTTCTTAACTCTCAAAACACTATACAACCTCATATATTGGTTCCCTTTTCTGTTCATGACTTCAAGTACTAATATATGGTCTGTTCTGAACTTGCTTATTTATGATCTACTCCATGGACTATCTCAGTCACTTCCAAAACTTATGCACAGAGGTGACTTCTGAGCTGTTCCGGATCTACCCCCATCTTCAGACCTGTATCACATTTTCCTCAGATCAACTGAGTTAACTAACCAGGGCAGGAATGCTGTGACTGGCCTATTTCTGCAAACTCTGAAGAGGATACTGGCTTGAGGCCTTATCATCAACCTGGATGAAATATTCTTAGAGGTATGCTGCATTCTGAGACCTTGTTTACCCAACTCTTTCCTTCCTTCTTTCTCGTGGCCATGTGCCCAACAAATCTCCTATCCATCAATCTCCTGTCCATCAATCCCATCTTGGCTTCTGCTTCTCATGGGGTCTAAACTAATGCAAGTGGTGCTACTGAGATTCTGGTACTAGTGGTACTAGTGGTAATCTGGGAAAGTGGGTGCTTGGAGATGGGCATTGGGGGCAGATGCATCAACCATAGTGTGAAGAAGACACCATGTGAGATAGAAGACAGGTCATAGACACACACAGTTTCTATTTTGAACACTTACTGTCATTCTCAGAGTTTGGACTGTAGAACGTGCCAGGAAGTAACCAAATAAAACCACCAAGAATCTAATATGCTTGCCTGGTGGACATTTTACATGCGTTGTCACAACTTGTTACTAAAAGACAAGTGTGTCCTCTTAACTGAGAAAGGATTCTGGGACACCTATGACTAGTTTCCCCTGGAACTTACCCACATGAACCTTTCCCTTTTGCTGGAATAAATTATGGTCATATAAATATGACTACAGTATATGCCAAATTTTGTGAGCCCTCCTAGCACAATGCTGCTCCTAGGAGTGATCTTGGGGCTCAACCAATACAGTCAGACCCACAGCCTGCACTACAGTCCGATCCCCATCATAGCTGGTTCTCATCTTGTATGGCTCCATCCCTTTCCCTTCATGAGCATTTCTCTAAATAAAGCTCTTGTTCATCTAAATCCCATCTTGGCATCAGCTTCTCAAGGATTTAAAACTGATTTTTACCAATTGAATACTCTCCTGGTACCTTATGTCTTAAACCAAATTCTTCAACTTGCTAAAGAAATCCCCATTAATTTAGTCATCCAAAAAAAAAAATCTATCACTCTCACCTCTTGACAGACTCCAGTGTTTTCTCAGCCCTGTGACTTGCACTCTCCACTAGGAGCACCTCATTCCCAGACTCTGAAAGTAAAGTCTTCTAACTGACTCCCAGTTCAGGCTGAGAGCCTTTGCTGACTCCCCTGCTGTCTGCCAATGAGGCAAACTCAGCAAGTGTCCCTGGTCCTAGTACTGTCTTGTCCCACTGTCCCTTCTATGCACAAACTCTAGCCACATCCAACTCCTGCCCTCACCATCACTGTAACACTGCACAGGATACTCTGCCTGGAATATCCTTCCTCTCAGTTAGCAGCCATTAATAGACTAGAATTTCTCTTAATCCTTTGAGATACAGATCAAATTCTTGAACCACTGAAGCTGCCTTCTCTGACTTTCTTCCTATAGCATACTCATATAACTTGGTCTTAACAGTTTATCTCCATTCAAGAGCAGAAAACAACTTTTATTTTTATTCTAATTCTTGACATTTCATAGACTACCGGTGAAATATTTATAACATGATCATTAACTTCAGGAAAAAAAACAACAACAAGGAGTTAACTAAATATACTAGTTTAGAAAGTTAAGATTTACATGGTTGTAATACAAGGTCATAACAGAGCAGACAGTTCCACTAAACTAACAGAAACTCTTTCTTTCGTCTTTTCTTGGTGCAGTATTTTCAGGTAACAACACTGTAACTAATTATAGTGCACTGCATTTTCATTGAAGCAGTAGTAAGTAGAATTGAACTAGGAAATAGATAAATCCTGTAGGTTGATTACTTTATATAAGCAAACCAAGAGGAGAATTTCAGGGAAGCATGAGTAGGAGAGTTAGCCAGCATTCTTTCAATTTAGTAAGAACTGTGAGAAAAATTTTAATGTAATGGTCCACAGCAATATTTATATATTATAAATATATCCTAAGGGTAAATATTTAGGATAAAGTACCATGAGCTAAATTTTTTTTTTTTTTTTTTTTTTTTTTTTTTTTTTTGGGTCTAAACCTTGTGCTTGAGGTAGGATAGCTCCACTGGCCCTTTATTTATTTATATATTTATTTTTTACCATAAGCTAAAATATTCATTACTTTTAATAAGCAACAGGGTTAACTGTATGTTGTACATACAGAGGGAAAGCTCACAGATGTGCTATATTAACTAAATAAACCAGCCATCCACTGGAGAAGCTTTACATTTATTTCATAAAAATTACACTAAAATGTGGCCAACTTTAAATATTCTTGAACTAGAAACATTTTAAGTGGGTTAAGAGTGAATTATTTAGTAGCTAAGGGTGCAGCTCAGTGGTGGAGCATGTGCTTATTAGCATTCATAAGGCAAGAGGTTCCATCCTCAGCACCCAAAAACAAAATCAAATAATGAAATGAAAGGAAATATCTTCAATGATTACCTAGAGATGCTCCGAACCTGTTGTTCTGTTAAGCCAAGCTCTTCACTGGAAACACCACAGTTAGTTATGAGGTCATCAATAATGTCTGCAATATCAGTCAGTCCAGTCATCTGGAGTGGATCTACTGAAACACTTTAATTACAAATGTAATTTGAAAATTATAAGTCGCCATCTATAACTTAATTACAAGCAAAATTGAACATAAAAAGCTAGGCCTTTAAGAGCATAAATTTGAAAATGGTAAACATGCATCTACTCTCTTACTTCTGCAATTTTGTTATTTCTTAGAAGAAAAGCACACTCATCAATACAGTGGGGACCCTTGACTTTTGTAACTAAGTCAATACTGCTGACATCTGGATGTTTACCTGTGTACATGCTATAGCTAACAAGAGGCATTAACCTAGTTAACCCAAGTTATTCATATGTCCGGCTGGTTGTAACTTGAGAGTCCACTGTAATTGATGATTTCACAGGCGCTTTAAAAAACTCTTTAGGCCCATGAGAAGACTTGTGTGAGTTTTATCTGCTAAACTTTAATGGATATTTAGTAAAACAAAATGTAGCAAATGTAGTTTATACCACTGTAATCACCTATGTTATAATAGCAAGGGATATGATGTAACACTTTTTAGTTTCTTAAAACACTACATTCCCAGTGGAAATTTAATATATTTTTTTACACCACAAACATACGTGTAATCTCAAAGTTCATGTTCATAAGAACAAAGTCTCCAAAACATATACTTATATCCAAATTTAAGTAAACTAATGAATTAGTTCTTAAAATATTTACCTCTCAAATAATTCATCATTGTTATTCATACCTTAAAAAAGAAAAAATATTATTAATAAAAATTTAGGTCAGTATTTTAATTTTCAAATATTAATCAAATTTAGAAATTATATAACCACAAACAAATATTTTGAAACCTCTAAATTGCTTTAAAGGTACATATGTACATCATATTTAGCCTGCTGTTAAATATACTATTTAGTATTAAATATTGTCTAAGATTATATTTCTATCCTGTAAACTCTATAGAATATATTTCATTTTCTTTATCCAGTCTCCTGTTGATGGGCAATTGGGCTGCTTCCAAGTTTCAACTATTACAGATTGTGCTGCTATGAACATGGGTGCACATGTATCACTGTGGTATATTTCTTTTAATTATTTTGGGAAGATACTCAGCAGAGGAATACCTGGGTCAAACAGACCTTCCAATCCTAGTTCTGTGAGGTATCCCATAGTGATTTCCACAGTGGTTGCACCAGTCTGCACTCCCACCAGCAGTGGAGATGTGTTCCTCTTTTCCCAGAGCCCAGCCAGCATTTGTCACTGGTTGATTTCATGATAGCAGCCATTCTTTCTGGGGTGAGGTGGAATCTCAGTGTTGTTTTCATTTGCATCTCTTGAATGACCAGTGATGTTGAACATTTTACCTATGTTTATTTGCTATTTCTACTTCTTTGAGAAATGTCTAATGATGTGAAATAGGAAAAAAGGGGAAATGGGGAAGGGGAAATGGGAAGGGTAGGGGAAAAGAAAGACAGGAGTGGAACTGACATGAAAAAAAGAAAATATGGAAATGAAATCTTTGTAGATAGGGAGGGGTAGAGGGAAGAGAGGGCAGGGGAATGGGGAAAAAATAAGAACCAAGATGGATTATGTAAAGGTGCACATTTCCAATGAGGAATGTCATTACACTGTACACCTTAAATGTATCAATAAAAATCAATTAATTAAAAAAAATTTATTTCAGAAATACAATTCTTCTTTGCTTAGAATAGTTATGGCCTGCATCTAAATGTCCCTGCAAAGCGTCATGCAGTTATAGGTAGGGCTTTTTAGAGGTGGTTGGATCTAGGCTGTGTGAATGTGAATTAAGGGTATGTGGTACTGGATTAGTCCACTAACTTGTTTACCATAGTTCTGGGTGTAGATAATGGAAGCCACCCTCTGCGTATGGGTGGCAGCGCCCAAAGGCTTATAGCCTGGATAGAATAAAAGGAAAAGGGAGGCCTGTTGCTGAGGGTTGATGCCTGGTGCCTCCTGTCTGCTTTGACATGGACTCTTTTCCTCTGCAGTGTCCATCTGCCATGCTGCCCTTCCTTGGAAATAGCCTATTATGGACTGAAACCTCTACAAACTGTGAGCTAAAATAAACCTTTCCTCCTTTAATTTGTGGGTATTGGGTATTTTGTCTCAACAGTGAGAAAAGTAACTAAGAGAGACAGAGTTCTGTAGTCCAATATACTTAAAAACAAAATAAACAGTTAACTTTGGTGATTTGAAAATAATACATTGTGAAAAATACCTAATTTGAGCCCAAAAAGCAATTTACTTGAACAGGACTCAAAGATTGGTTTTTAATCCTTCTCCAAAATGAACCATATATCTTTAAGCAATACAATAAGATCTTAAATACATTTAACTCTGAAAGGTAAGTTGATATAGGGAAAGTGTTCTGAAATTGCATCTCAAAAAAATTTCTTGTTTTACTAAACTAAGATAAACTAAACCTGTCCATAAGATTTATATACCCGTGTTTTAATATGAAATAATTTTTGCTTTTCTAAGCATATATTTTTATTTACAAGTTTTTTTATCTTTGTTCTTAGAATGAGCATATGTGAGTTCTTAATGGCAATTAAATAAATAAATTTAGCTAGGAGGGAGATATTTCACATACATCTAACATGATAGCAACAATAATAATACAACTTCTAGCTTTTTGCTTAGGAGAAAAGATACTTCTCCTAAGAGAGGGTCCACTAAGAAGGCACTCTGCGTGACCCTCCTGGCCTATTCATGAAGGCAGCTTGAAGGATTCCTTCTAGCACTGTCTGGGCTGATGAGCGAAGTGGGTGTGATTATTCACAGACATGATGACCACTCGGGTAAAGAATTGACGTTTTAGTCATCAAACATAGTTACTCTTCCTTCTGCTGTTAGGAACCCTTGCACACAAGGTCAAAGCCACAGTATCTACAAATCTGGGCACAACTTGTCAAACCTAGTCAAGTTTAATACTTCCAAATCACTACTACTAAAAGAGAGTATCTTTCTGCAGAACTCTGGTAACAGGGGCAGCTTAAATGAACAGCTTTATGTTTAAAGATAAACTGTCTTACATGATAGAGTTTAGGGCCTCTGGTCCCTGACAAAGATCCTCCTCAATTTAATTACTGTTAAGAAAAGCCTCTAGCTGGGCATCATGGAGCACATCTGTAATCTCAGCACTTAGGAGGCCGGATGACTGCCTCGAGTTTGAGACCAGCCTGAATTATACAGGGAGATCCTATCTCAAAGAAAAAAAAAACAGCCTTAACTACTGAAAGAAAAAAATGACAATGATGAGAGTACAGATTAACTGAATAAAAACTGTGATTAGTAGAAATGAAATAGTGTTCTTGCACCAAAAAGCTGGAAATGTTATATTTAAACAAATTCCTTTAAAAACAGTTACACAGTCTATTATTCATTTTCAAACTACTTTTGGAACTCTTGTGACTGCCTACATAGATGATTTATTAAACACAAATTAATCAGCTTTATTCCTTAATAACTGACTCCTTACTTTTTTTTTTTTTTTTTTTTGGTACCGGGTATTGATCTCAGGTCCTTGTGCTTGTGAGGCAGGCGGCGGAACCACTGAGCCAAATCCCTGGCCCTGATTCCTTACTTTTAATTCCAAACATTGACACTCAGCCTGGTTATTTACTTCATGTATCAGAAGAACCTCTGAATATCCTATGGCTACTACCAAAAATTAAAGCTATTCTCAGTGAATAAATTATTTGCCACTAAGAATATTAAGAGAAATGTACTAAGAAATGGAAGTTAATTGCAAAAGAAGAAAATCTAAGCTATTTTTGATCATTAAAGCAAGGAAAAGGGGCTGGGGATTTAGCTCAGTGGTGCTGCACCTGCCCCACAAGCACAAGGTCCTGAGGTTCAATCCCAAGTACAAAAAAACAAAAAAATAAACAAAAAAGGCACAAGGAAAAGTCAATACCTTTTTCTAAATTGCCAACTTTACAGAAAACACCCATGAGGTGAACTAAATATCTTCATTTTATAGGAATACGATTTCTTTCTAAGTTTCTAATCATACATTAACTCCTAGAGAAAAACATTTTAATGTATTTACTTTTATAAGTGTTACATGGTAAATAGTGTACTTTATTATTCACATGACAAACCTGTATTCGGTAGGACTAAAGAATGCTACTTTTAATTGCCACTTACCAACTAAACCTAAGTTTCAATACTCTCAACTATGAAACAGGGATAATAATTATATCTTCTTCAGAGGTCAGGCTTAAACAAGGGTCTACACAAAGTGGAGGTGTCTCACATACAATAGAAGCTTAATAAATCTGTATTTGGTTTTCAAGTTAAAATTCAAAGTTCTGATAACTGGGAGGGTTTGAATGTCTCAATTTTTATAAAAATCAAACAGTAATTCTGGGTGCTATATATTTAGTATTAATATATTATACAGATATATGAGTGGCTGAAGTATATTTTGTGAAATTCTTCCTGTGAATGGCACAAGTTTTAACTTCCCCTTCCCGGAAATAAATATTACAAAATGACTTAACAAATCCTTCATAAGTTTATTACCAGGAGCTACAGCTCAGTAAAATACTAATGGAAATAAGAATGTGCACACATGAAACAATACCAGGAGAAGTAACGTTCTGGCCACTGGAAAGGCTGACAGCTGAGTCCGCAGAAGGGAACACACGGGCTTTCTGATTAGAATGATTTTCTGTTACTGAACATTCAGCTTCCGAAGTCTCCTCTTTGTCAGTTTGCTCTTCCTCATCCATGTGAGTTTGGAGATGCACTAATCCAGAGCACATGTTACAATTAAAAGAAAATGGTGAAAAACAATTGAGGAAAAAGCTGTAACGACTGCTAACATCTCCACATGACAACACAGATATATTAGAAGTTTGCAACAGTGCTGGACATGAGTGGCATGTGCCTGTAATCCCAGCATGCAGGAGGCTGAGGCAGGTGGATCGCTGCAAGTTTGAGGCCAGCCTGGGCTACACAGTGAGTTCAAGGCCAGCCTGAAAAACATAGGGAGACCTTGTCTCACAAAAACAAGAACAAGGGCTGGGAATTTAGCTCAGCGGTACCATGCCTGCCTTGCAAGTGCAAGGTCCCGAGTTTGATCCCTGGTATGGGGGAACAAACTAACAAACAAAATAAAAAAACAAACAAACAAAAAACCAGGAAAAAGAAACACCAAAACAGAAAGTCTGTAATATATTTTTCTGATACTTTTATACAGTATAATGAACTAATCTGTTCTCAAATTTCAAATGAAAACTCTCATAGTAAAAAAGAAAGAAAGACAACTTTTAAGAAAGCACAGAAATGATAACGTAAGAACAGGATAAACAGATTTGAAAAGGAAAGAACTTCTAGATACTAAAAATGTAGTCATTAGCTGGGTGTGGTGGCACGCACCTGTTATCCAAGAACTTGGGGGGCAGAGGCAGAAGGATCACCAAGAGTTCGAGGCTAGCCTGGGCTACATAGTGAGTCCAGGGCCAGCCTGAACTACAAAGCAAGACCTGGTCTCAACTCCATCCCCTAAAAAACCCAAAAATGTAGTCACCAAAATTAAAAACATAATGGATAAAGTAGATAGCAAAAAAGACATAGCAGGAAAAAAATTAGTAAATGCCCTGAAGAAATTACCACAAATAGATAATTGAGAGGCAAAGAGGCAGAAATTATGAAAGACTGGTTAAAAGTAATAGTGAGCAGACCTAACAACCTCAAATAGTTTTTAAAATGGAGTAGAAGGAATGCTCGCAAAGATAATGGATAAAAATTTCCCAATGTTAAACCTTCAAACAGAAGAACAATTTCTACTTCAAAAGAAATACTCATCTAGACACACTGTATCAAAGAAGCAAATAAAAAGTAACTCAAGTGCCTGGGGATTTAGCTCAGTGGCTGCCTGCTTCTCAAGCACAAGGACCCCAAGTTCCATCCGTGGTACCAAAAAAAAGAGAGAAAAAAAAGAGACAACTTTAAACAGAGATAAAAGAACAGTAATTAGACTACAGCAAATAGGCAGTGTAAGCTATGTGTTAAGAGTGGTTACAATGTTAGTAAATAATGGAATAACATCTTTAAAATCTAAAGGAAATCCTAGACTTAGAACTCCAGAATTATATACTCAATAAGTTAACACTAAAAAATTATAGTAAAATTAAAGTTATTTTCAAAGACAGTGAGAAGTGACCACACACAGATTATAGGTGAAGAACTTATAAAGGAAAGGAGAAGGAATCTCAGTCCCTAAAGTGGATGCAAAAGAAGCAACTGCGGGCAAAGCAGAAAACAGAAAATGCCAGATTATTTAAATCAAAATTTTTGAAAGAAGTCAGTAAATTGCTCTGGCTGGGCTCCTGGCTCAGCCTCTCAAGGGGGGGATTAAAGTGTGTGCCACCACCCCCAGCTCACAAAAGAAATTTTAACAAATTATCTAAAAATTAACAGCATCATATACATCATCTAATCATAACACAAGGAAAATGGAACTCAATCATGAAAAACACAGCCCAAATCCACTTAATAAAATTATGTAGAAATAAACACACCAAATGATGTACACATCAACATGCTTGGCTAGGTCCATGAAGGAACGTGTTTAATCTCAAATGCACATAATTAGTTAATAAGAAAGAATGAAATTAGTAAAAAGTCCACAATTTAACCTCCCCAAAATGGTAGAAATAACAGAAGTAAAAATTGAAAAATGCAAATGCTATATAAACAACTATAAATACAGGAGCTGTAAAAACATAACTACCCTAATTTCAGTCTTTCAATAAGAAATGAAAACACACAAGGGGAAAAAATGAGAATCAAGACCTATTATGTAAAGGTACAGGATCCCAATGATGAATGTAACTGTATTGTATACCTAGATTGCACCAATAAACTCAATAAAAAGAAAAAAATGTGTTATAAAGTACAAGTAACAGTGGCATAAATAAAGAGAAAGATGAGTGGGACAAAAAAAAAAAAAAGAAATGAAAACACTGAACAGCTCATCATTGCTTGGCTATTTAATCAGAACCTCAAATACCAGCAACCTTCCCACAAGGTTCTGTAGTCTTCACAATCTGTAGCCAGTGGCCACTTTACACCAGGCTGGCATATGAGCCAGATGAGGTTACTGGCTTCTCAGGAAAAAAATAAAAAATAAAAAATGCCCTGGTCGTAGAACCAATCACATTATTACAAAAATATTCCTGAGGGCCGAGGTCGTAGTTCTGTGGTAAAGTGCATTCTTAGTACGCATAAAGCCCTGGGTTCAATCCCAGCCTCCCTGTACCCTCCATAAAACAAATGAGCAAAAAACCCACATTTAATCTAAAAACAGAGGGACTCATAGAATCAGCTCCCCTATGAAAATGATTTCTAGTTCTCACGCTCCAAAAAGCCAGGCTTTAGTCCCACAACTCCACAAACCTTCTTCAGAAATGCTAATGGCTTTTGAAGCTAATTTTTCAAATTCAGGGCCAGAAGACAATTCATTGTGATCCAATTCTCCAACCTGTCAAAAAAAAAAAAAAAAAAACAAAGATACAGAGGGCTTGGAATTAACTCAGTGGCTCCCCCGCCTGCCTTGCAAGCCCAAGAACCTGAGTTCAATCCCCGGTACCAAAACAAAACAAAACAAAAGACACAACAAAACAACTGCTTTAAATTTAAAAATATCAGACCATTTTATGTAAATTTTAGAGATCTGCATTAATGGAACAAATAAAATAAATGGGATTAAATCCAACATGAGCTAAATGTTAGACCGATAAAGAGAAGGATATTTTATTTTTGTCCCCACTCCTTTTTTGAGAACAAGGTCTTGCTATAGTCCTGACTGGCCTTGAACTCACTATGTAGCCCAGGCTGGCCTCAAACTTGCGGTGATCCCTCCTGTCTCAGGCTTCCAAGTGCTGAGATTACAGACATGTGTCACCACAACTGGCTTTGGAGCCTAATTTAATCTTTTAAGAGGCTTTGGAAATAGCATCATATAATTTTGGAATATGAAAGAAACCTTAACTACCACCCAAGCAAAACCTTTCATTTACAGATGAGGGGCTGAAGAGCAGAGAGATTCAGTTTTCTTAGTGACAGAACATGGTTTTCAACCCAGGTCTTCCAGGCCGCTAGTCAGTCTTGTTCACAGAATCCCTCTGCCTCCTAGCCTACAAGCTCTTTTTTAAGTACGAAAGAAATGTCTGTACTGATACAGACACTGTAAGAGGGGAAGTTCATTTTAAAGAAATATACCAAACATGCCATTTAAATTAAAGGTATTTCCTTCCAATAGTAATCCTGGAAGACTAAATACCTATGGACTCTGAGCAAATGTCTTCGCAACTCTTTGAAACTCTCTCCAAGCTTGTGCTACACTTAATTAATATAACTGTTCTAGTGGCAAATCTGTTAATCTATAAACTGATTTTGTTACTGCCAGGATCCAAAACACAAGTAAAAAGAATTAAAATAGGTTATACACATGTACTACTAATTAATCATTATGTTCTGCAAACATGTACACTAATAAAAAATTAAAAATGAAAAAAAAATTATCCTGTCCTGTGTGCTTAAAATTGAAAAAAACAAAAACAACCAAAAATCCTTCCAGCAAACAGGAGGGGAAAAGCAATCCATTAAACACACATTTTTCAAAGGGCTGCTATGTGCAGCAAAAGACAATCTTTATCTTCTAGTCTTAAAAGGCTCGGGCTGAGTAAGGCTCTGTCAGAATTTATGCAAACTTTTCTAAAATGCCAAGCTACTTCTGCTTGTCTCCTGCACAGATCCAGGAGTCAGCATGGATATTCTGAGAGGGTGTCCTAAGTGAGCACAACACGCACAGACCTACCAAAGGGCTGTTCTCCTCTGAGTTGCTGCTGCCCCTTTACAAGCCTTGTGGTTGGGTCCTCATCCTTAAAGGGCAGTTCTTTTCTCACTCCTGTGCTCTCTCCATCGTGATCTGAACTTCCTAACTCATGACTCCAGAATCTGTATCTCAGCCCAGATCTAGCTCCCGAGCTCCAGAAACATGTGTCAAGCTGCCTGCTAATCTGACAGCACTGTAGGGTTAACATGTCCCACAGCAATCACAGTGCCTCAGGCCCCCAGTGCACCATAAACACACCACCTCCTTTTCTTCAGTTTGAAACTGTTCTGCCATTCCTCTGGGCTGGAATCTGGGCACCCTCATGAATCTTGGCTTTCTTCTCTACTCTTCCTCAGCCTGTCAATCTCTAAATCCTGTTATATCTTTCTCCCTGTTCCTATGGCAAAAGTTCATGTATACTGTTATTTTGCCCTTGGTGCTGGGTATTTAGGATCCTGAATGCTTATCAGTGGCTGTCTTCCACATTTAGCAACATGAGAACCATTTATGATGCTTATTAGTAATACATATTTCTTGGCTCTACCTTAGACCTACTTAAATAGAATCTCAGGGAAATGGGAAAACAAGTTTCCAAGATGAGTAGCCAGTATGAAATCAGGGGGCCCAACAGGTCTCCCTACTCCCAGGCTTGTCCTTTCCATTCTACCCTTCTCCCTGCTGCCAGCACGTCTGACTGTATCACTTCACTGCTTAAAATTCTTCAATTTTTAGAATTTTGCCTGCCTATAGGATGAAATCCCAACTGCCTGGCATGGCAAACAGTGCTTTCTTTCCTTACCTTATTGGTATGTATGTCTACCTTTTTTAGTAGGCTCTAAGCTCCTACGTAGCTACCTTGCTCAGGGCCTAGCTCAATGTAATAGATGCTCAATGGAAGTCTTGCAGGAATTATCAATTCATGTACTCGAGAGAGTGAGCAAGGCAGGATCAAGACCAGACATGGGTAGAGGTATTGTCTGTCTAGATAAGCTTTCACTACTAGTTGAACAGCAATTTCAAAAAAGCTTCTTTGAAATAAGGTGCTCTGAGGAACACTCTAATGTCCAATGTTCACATGGCCGTGGCAGTTCTAAGTTTGTGTTAAAAAACACAGAACAACCACCAAGTAAACACCATAATATCGTTATATAATAGTATTCTACTTCATATTTTTCAATGTAGTTTCACATATGATTAACCTTAAGATTTTCTTGTTCTGTTTTTTGTTTGTTTTTCAGTACTGGGGTATGAATCCAGTCCCTTGGGCATGAGAGCAAATACTCTACCCCTGAGCTACTCCACCAGCCTTTTCTTTTTTTTTCAATTTTTACAAAAGGTCTCGAAAAGTTTCCCAGAAACTTGTAATCTTTCGACTTCAGCCTAAGTAGCTGGGACTATAGGTGTGTACCACCAAGCCCAGCTCTTTTCGATTTTTTTGTTTTGTTTTGTTTTGTTTTGGTTGTGCTGAGGATTAAACACAGGGTATCATGCATGCCAGCCAAGTGCTCGACCACTAAGCTACATATCCCTGTCCCCTCATTTTCTAATATGTGTTAAATGTAAGGATAATATAAATAGTATATGTCACTTTACCCCAGTAAGTATGGCTAGTATCAGAGAGATCAAAGATAACAAGTACTAGGGATATGGAAAATGGTGGGAATATAAATTAATGTAGCCACTACTCTCTTGACATAATAGACCTTTAGCAATACCATGAGAAAGATAGACTCTGAACGAGGCGCTCTAGTTCAAAAAGAAATTGCTCCAGTTTTTTTTTTTTTTTTTTTTTTGGCAGTATTGGGGATCAAACTCAGGACCTTATGCTTGCCAGACAGGTGCAGCACCGCTGAGCTACATTCCCGGCCCCTGACGCAATCACAAGAGAAAACATAATGAATTTTTTTGAGTACTGAGGATCCTAAAAAAATTAAATAGAATTAACATATAATACAGCAATCCCAGTGAATATAAAATCAGGGCAAGGAAGGGACAGCTGCATTTCCATGTTCAGTGGAGCAGTAAGTACAACAGCCAAGAAAATGGAAACAACCTAAGTATCTATCAGCTGACCAATAGATTTTTTAAAAAATGTATATTTATACAATGGAAATTAAAAAATTAAATTTTGTCATTTGTGACAACACAGATGCAACTGAATTATGTTGAGTGAAATAAGTCAGGTACAGAAAGACAAGTACCACACGATCTCCCTCACATGGAGGCTCTAAAAGGGAAGATCTCACAGAAGCTGAGGATGGAATGGAGGCCAGCAGAGGTCTAGAAGAGTTGGGGGTGGAGGAGGGGCTGGGAAAGGTTGATCAAGGGCACTAAATCACAGTTAGATAGGAGGAAGAAGTTTTGGTGAGTCACTGCATAATATGGTGACTACAGGTAATAACATAATGTGTCTTTGAAAAAGCTACAACAAAGGACTGAGCGTCTTCATAACAAATGATGTTTTTGGAGATAAACATGCTTAACCTAATTTAAACATTGTACGCATATTCTGAAATATACTGGATGTATGCATATACTGAATCATAACATGGTACCCAATTAATATGTATAATTTTTAGGTGTTTTTTTTTTGTATGTGTGGTACTGGGGATTGAACTCGGGACATGATACCACTGAGCTAAATCCCCAGCCCATGTCTAATTTTTTTTTTTGTACCAGAGATGGAACTCAGGTCCTTGGTGCTTGCAAGGCAGGCAGCGGAACCACTGAATTAAATCTCCAGTCCCCCATGTATAATTTTTATAAACCCAACATACATACGTTTAAAAGATGTTAGTTACCTGGAATGTTTTTTAGGTAAGTAAAAAATGGAATTCTAGCTAGGCATGGTGGCACACGTCTGTAATCCCAGCACTCAGAAGGCTGAGGCAGGAGGATCACTACAAGTTCAAGGCCAACATGAGCTACATAGTGATCACCTTGAACTACATAGGGAGACCCTGTCTCAAAATACTGACCCCTCCTAAAAAAAACATCAAAAATAAACAAAAAATACCAACAAAAATGGAATTCTAAACTGGGGATGTAACTCAGGGGTACAGAATTTGCCTAGCATGCACTAAGCCCAGTTCTGAGCCAAGATAAAACTCTTACACTGCAGATTAACTTCCATTATTCAATATTAGGCTTCAACATATTTAATGTATTTTTATTATTTGTTTCTTAGTCCTTATTATATAAATTTTTCTTCTTTAAAAACAAAGACTAGCTGGATGTGTGTGCACGCCTGTAATCTCAGCACTTCGGAGGCTGAGGGAGGAGGATTGCTGTGAGTTCGAGGCCAGCCTGGGCTACGTAGTGAGTTCTAGGTCAGTCTCAACTACATAGTGAGACCCTGTCTCAAAAAACCAAAAAAAAAAAAAAAAAAAAAAAAAAAAAAAAAAAAAAAAAAAAAACCCAAAGACTAGAACTAGGCATAGTGGCACACACCTATAGTCCTAGATACTCAGGAGGCCGAGACAGAAGGATCACTTGAGCTCAGGAGCTTAAGAGCAGACTGGGAAATATAGCAAAACAAAAACGGGATGGGGGGGTCAGACACAGATGTCTGGCAAAATAATTATTTTTCATACTTCGTTACTATCTTAACTACCATTATATATAAACATTCATTTATTATGAATACTTTTATTTTTGAGACAGGGTCTTGCTAAGTAGCACAGGCTGGCCTCAAACTTGTGCTCTTTCTGCCTCAGCCTCCTGAGCAGCTGGTATACATACATGTGTCACTACACTCAGCTCGATTATGAATACTTTCTAAAAATACAGAAAATGTCTAAGAAATTGATTACTGGTTTCCTCACACAAAATATTTAAAAGAAACTGAGAAGAATTTCAAATACAAAGACAATTTTTTTTTCTGTCTTTTTTGATTTTTTTAGGTACTGGGAATCAAACTCAGGACCTTGCACTAGCAAGGCAGGCACAGTGCCACTGAGCTACATCCCCAGCCCTGATTTTGTGTTTTTGATGCAGGGTTTTGCTATGTGGTTCAGGATGCCTTTGAATTCACTATGTAGCTCAAGCTGGCCTCTAACTCAGGGTGATACTCCTACCTCAGCTGTCCAAATGCTGGGATTACAGGCATTGCCCCTGCCCCCAGCCAAAGACAATATTTTTAAAGATAGAAATATCTTTCAGAAGAAAATAATAATCAACTCCTAGGAGAATTTCTTTAAAATTCTGGTTTTATAATTTATACAACTGTACATGTTCCCTGCTAGGTAGCAGGGGCTCATATTTCTTAAAGGGTCTGGCAGTAGTTCTCAGTGAGGGCTGATTTTGGCTCTCAGGGGACATTTGGCAATGTGGGGAAATTTTTTTTTCTGCGGTACTGGGGATCAAACTCAGGAACTTTTGCTTACAAGGTAGGCACAGCACCACTGAGCTAAATCCTTAGCTCCATGGAGAAATATTTTTGATTGTTACCACTCAGGAGAGTGCTACTGGCAGGAAGAGGAAAGAACAGGATGCTGCTAACTACCTTAAAGTGTATGGGACATTCCCCCAACAAATAATTACCCATACTGGGGATGTAGTTCCATGGTAGCATGCTTGCCTAGTATGCACAAGACCTCAGGTTTGCCCCCAGCACCACCCAAAAAATATGTTATTTGGCCTACATGGTAATAATAGTGAGCTTCAGAAGCTATAGCTTATATAAACCAAATTTTACACAGTTTCAAAAGATCAAGTGTCTAAACTTATATAACATTACAAATCTAACAACTGAGTTACAAACAATGAAACAAAGAATAAAGATAAAGTACCTTTCCATAGTGCAGATTTACCATTTCAGATCTGGGGAAGTTTCGTTCTATGTCTTCTGCAATGTCCTGCACTGCCAACAGCTGCTCGTCCATTTTCTGAAGCTCAGCAGAAAGAAGCTGCAGTCGGTGAGCAGCAGGGTGTGGTGCAGGGTGAGACGCAGGGACATCCTGCAGCAGATTCCTCAGCAGATGACCCTCTGCAAAGCTGGACTCTGTGCTCTGCAGTTTGAGTTGGAACCCTTGTGTAGGCAGATCTAAATATGAATAAAAAGAAAAATCAGAGTTGATTATAACTAAGGAAGTGGCAGGCACTGAAGTTATCATTTTCCGATTACCTAATTTTTAGGCCTATTATCACATTACTTTGCAAACCAGTTTTGCTCTACAATACTTGCAAATTCCATTTTAGCTTCTAGGCCCCTGAAGTTTGACTTTGTTGTAAGATTAAGAACCCATAGTAATTTCAGTAACACAAAGCTTTGCATCCAAGGCAGTTTGAATGTTTCTTTTATATTGTTATAAGGATCCTTCATCACAAGGCAATTTTATTATTTTTTATGACTTTTTGAAACTCTAACTGAAAACCAACACCATCACACACTAAAAGGTGGGTCCAGTGTTGGCTATCACCAATCTCATGTAGGATCTCAGGCAAATATGAAACGCCCCAAGGCCACCATCAAAGCCAAAGACTCTCCCCACTCTTACACTCAGTTGATTTTTGGTTGAATTTGAGACGTGCTTTCGTCAGTGTACTCTCCTGCACTGTTCACCTGCTTAGCCTCCTCCATTACCCTTCCTCCCTTTACCCAGCAGTATGTCCCGAGTGCCAGCCCTAGCTCATACCTCTGCTCCATCTTCCCTCTCCCTCAGTGATGTCACTGATGCACAGACGACTCTCAAAGCCATGTAGACCTCCTTCTGAGTGCCAGCTCCTTATGCCCAGGACATCCAGTTGGGTTGTCCCATGAGCATATTAAACTAAACTCATAATTTCTCTAACTTGTTTCCTCTTTGATGTTCCGCAGTGAACAGCAACACCATTCATCCCATTTCCAAAGCCAGGGGTCTGAGTCAGTCAAGATTGCCCCCTTTCCTTCATGTCCAAAGTGATACCAAATATTAATGATTTGGCCTCCTAAACACCTCCATTCCTATTGTCACTGCTTAACCTGAGCTTTAATAACAGATGAAAGGCCAGGAGTGGTAACCCACACCTGTAATCCCAGCACTTGGGAGGCTGAGGCAGGGAGATCACCATGAATTTGAGACCGGCCTGGGCTCCATAGTAAGTTCAAGGCCAGCTTGAAATAATAGCAAGACCCTCTCTCAATCAACCAACCAATCAACCAACCAACCAACCAAAAACCAAAAACACAATAGATGGACATTAAACAGTATCCCACATATCTCCTATATAATCCATCTTCCACACAGGCCTTTGGGTTTTTTGTTTTTTGTTTTTGTTTTTGTTTTTTTTGCTTTTTGAGACAGGCTCTCACTATGTAGTTGAGATTGACCTGGAACCCACTATGTAGCCCAGGCTGGTCTTGAACTCACAGCGATCCTCCTGCCTCAGCCTCCTGAGTGCTGGGATTATAAGCATGTGCCACCATGCCCAACTCCCACACAGGCCTTTGGAGAAATTTTTTTTTTCCAATACTGGGTACTGAACCCAGGGATCAGTTGGTCCGAAGGCTGTGGATTATTGTTAAACTGAACCCAGGGATCATGAGATTACACCATTAGCCAACCCCCTTTTTTTTTTGTTTTTTTGAGACAGGGTCTCACTATGTAGTTGAGACTGACCTGGAACTCACTATGTAGCCCAGGCTGGTCTCGAACTCACAGCGATTCTCCTGCCTCAGCCTCCTGAGTGCTGGGATTACAGGCATGCGCCACCATGCCCGGCCATTAGCCCTTTTTTTATTTTGAGACAGGATCTTACTAAGTTGTCCAGGCTGGCGTCAATGTGTATGTAATCCTCCTACTTCAGCTTCTTGAGAAGCTTGGATTATCAGTATGCACCACCATGCCCAGCTAGAAACAGTTCTTAAAACTATAAATTTGATATTTTTTTCTCCCTAAAACCTTTTCATTTGTATCGTCAATGCCTTTACCTTAAAAGTCCAAATGCCTCAATATGCGACAGTGGTACACACAATCTTTCCTCTGCACAGGCTCCGTCAAACTTCTATGTCACTATATAATCAATTCTCAGTCTGAATGCCCTCTTTCTCTACAAATCCTACATTCCTTTATGATTCCATTTAAGGTGTTTTCTTCTCTAAATGGCCTCAAACATCTTTGGGGGTAGAAAAGTTCCTGCTATACCTAAGAATCTCACCTACACTACCATCAAAGCCCTTACCAAGACATATCCTAACCACCCATTGATTTGTCTGTTTTTAAGACAGGGTCTTGTTTCATATTGCAGTTAGCTTTGAATTTACTACGTAGTCCAGGCTGGCCTCAAAGTTGCAGCAATTCTCCTGCTCCAATTTCCCCAGTGCTAGGGTTACTGGCATACGCCATCATGCCCTGCTTCACTCACCTTCTTTCCTTCCCTTCCTTTCCCAATACACACACACACACACACACACACACACACACACACACACACTTTTTTGGTACCGGGTATCGAACCTGGGTCCTTATGCTTGCGAGGCAGGCAGCAGCACTACTGAGCTAAATCCCCGGCCCTCTTTTCCTTTCTTTCTCCTCTCTTCTTTCTCCCACAGGCTGACATCTGGCATGCTTCTCTTCTTTAGCCCCAGTAACTGCTTTCTCTTAAAGTGTTTATAGAATGAAGAGGTCAAAGGAAGACTGTGATGCTTATTGTTCCTTACAGAAGTCTTGTGAACACAAAATTGTGTGACAATGTGCTCCGAAAAATGTGAATTACTAAACAAATACAAACATTACCTGTTGTCTTTTAGTCCCTTTAGACTCTAAGGTGAGTCTTCTTATGAGAAAAACAATTGTAAATGCTAATTCTGGCCATGGTGAAATCTATGTAATTTTCCCCTACCTTTTTTAAGCTTGGCTCTCACAGCACTTTACCGTCTACCCTTACTGTTTCTCAGTAGTCTAGTGTCTCCCTTAATCAAAGAAAAGATCTGGTGTGCAAAGTGTTTCTCAGGTTCCCTTTGCATTTACCAAATTTTAGTGCCTTTTTTTTTTAATGCCTCTTTCTGATGTCATGGGAATTCAGGGAGGGAGCAGGTCATGGTGGACATCTTGCTGCTCACCTTTGTCTTGCTGCCTGTTTGCTTGTGCTGTTGAGGAAATCCCAGGCTCCTTCACTTCTTTAACAGCTGTTCTCCAGCTTTTTCCTTCCAGGTAGGTTGGAGTCACTTTTGTAGGTTTAAAAAATAAATCCACAGTGGAACTGGCAGATTCTATGAATATGAAAGGCACACAAAGATTGACAGCAAACTGCTAAATAAGGTACTTAATATATAAAATAACATTTCTGAATGTGAACATAAACATCCAAAAGTGCAGGAAAAGCTAGCTAAAAGATTTGCGTACAGATAACAACTCTAAATACTTCTCCAAACAATGTGATATCTGACACCCCATTGATCACCAGGGTTCATTCAGCTGAGCTGACTGGCTAGGCAGGTGTCCCTTTCCTCCCTCACTGCTCCATGTGAGTCCCTCCTGAAGCTGGACCGTTTCCTTGTTCAGTGGTGTAAGAGAAGCTGGGCTCCCCTGCTAGAACCTTCAAACAAGCTCTCAAAATATGTTTTATTTAAAAAGTAGCAAAACGTTATTACCTTCACTCTTAAAATTGTGTGGGAGAACAGCATTAGTGACTGACGTTGCCATATAATGTAACTCGGCAGATGAGGGGATGTCTGGGTGACCACTCTGCTGCTTGCTGACACTCTCATAGGCAGGTTCTTCTCTGACAGGTAACTCCTGCAGGCTACTGGCTTCAATGTCAATCACATTTATGTAAGTGTGTCCCACCTGAGTTAAAACACAGAAAACTCAATCTTTACTTTAGAAGGGCACTCTGCCAAAAACAGTTTTAATTCTTTATTCTTATTACTAATAAGCAAGAAGAGCTTATGTGCCAAACTTAGAGAAAGTTGCAAGAAATTTGTATTATTGGCTTAGTTTACAATATTTCGGGGCATAATACTTAAAATTAATTTTTGACCTTTCCTATACAGCTACACTGATGAGATTTTTAGCATTATTTCACCCATACAACCTATGTAAATGAATACTACCTACATGGATGACAATAAATTTTAGCGCAAAGCTATTATTAAAAGTTCTGAATATACACACCACATTTGCTACCATGTGAGGTGTTGAAGGTAACAAAGGTTTCTCTGATTTCTCAGTAGAAAGTTTGACATTTAGAAATACATCTGGGATCAACAGCTGATTATCATTCAAAGGTTTGTGTTCTGAAAATTAAGAAGAAAAATCAGGAATATAACAAATATCCATAAATAGTTCTAAATCATTAATTTTATAAGAACAAGTTAGCAACAAACATTTTAAAAATGTGTATTTCCTGAAAATCTAAATAGAAGTTTCATGAGTATAAATAAAGCAAACATTTTTTTCTATTTTTGGTACTGGGGAATATTCTATTTTAAGAGTAATTTATTTTAGATTCATAATTAAATGAAGATTGTGTATTTTTTTCTAATATGAATGATTTGCAAGAACAATAAAGCATTAAATTTATGTTGAGAAGATGCTGCAATTTCCAGTTTTTATTTCAGATATATTAAGTCACATTTATTTTATTTTGAAGAATTTCACTTAGGTCAGATTTTAGAAAATAAACCTATGAATACATTTTTAAAATTTCAACAGCTGTCATTTTTTTTTAGTTTGAGAGATATAATTCATATTCTTTAAATGGGTACCATTCAGTGGCTTTTAGTATAGCGAGAGCCCAAAGCTAACTTTCACCACTTGAAATGTTTTACTGTCTAAATTTCACAAACACTATTTGCTTCTTATTCTGTAATAAAACATAAGGCTGCCACTATGTAGGTCAGCAGACAGTATAATTCTGTTCCTTTTGTTCCAGGACTCTTAATCTTATTTTCTAGCATTTCACTTCCAATAGCATTATTTTCAAATTTCATATGTAAACTATAACTCACTGTCATATTGAGTACTGGAAACTCAATTACAGCAACTCAACAGTACCAAGACTTAAATTAAATTGTAGGTTAAACAAAAACTAGAAAAAAACACAGAAAAAGTTTAACTTGTCATTCATTTCTACTATGTTAAATGAATAGTTGAGCTGTTTTTTGGCATCAGGCAGATATAACTTTTTAGATTTTTAGATTTTTTGGGGGGAGGGGTACTGGGGATCCAACACAGGTCCTTGAGCTTGCGATGCAGGCAGCAGAACCATTGGGCTAAATCCCTGGCCCCAGCTGTAACTTTTTTTTTTTTTTTTGAGACAAGATCTCACTACGTAGTTGAGACTGACCTGGAACTCACTATGTAGTCCAGGCTGGTCTTGAACTCATAGTGATCCTCCTGCCTCAGCCTCGCCAGTGCTGGGATTACAGGTGTGTGCCACCACGCCTGGCTCCCAGATGTAACTTTTAATAAGTCAAACTGTTGTCGGGGGAAAAAAAGAAAAAATATATCTTACCTAAGGCAGAAGAAATGATTTGTTGATTTTTACCACTTCCAGGGATAGCTTCTTGAGAAGCAGCTTCATTATCTTGCGCTAAATTAGAATATTTGAAGCAAAAAAAAATTTTTTTTCCACAAACACAGAAAGAATATATGAATGTATATAGACATTATGTATGAAAGGTAGTAGGAAAGCAGATTAACAGCTTAACAATTTAATTTTTAAATAATTAATATAATGTCAGATGTCCCAGGCATTCACCTTGATGAATCTTGGTAAACACTGCCAACTTTAGAAGACTACACAGCAGCAAGGCAAAGGGCCTACAAGGCTCTCTCAAACACATCCTCAGGTAAGAACATTTAAAGACTGTTTCTCAAATAAACAGTCATCGTTTACATTAAAAAAAAAAATCTTTCATACAGGCTCAACCTCACTCAGGGAAAAACCCCACAAAATATGCCTTTTTTTTTACTTACCAGATGGGCAAAGTAGAAAAAGTTAGCTAACTCAGTAATGACCAAAAAAAAAGGTCCTTATACTTGCTGAACCATTACTTAGGTAGCAGAAAAAAAATGGGAACTGTCTAGTGCATTCAGTAACAAGAAATTGGTTTAAAAAAATGTATATTTTTTGGTACCAGGGATTGAACTCAGGACCTTGCGCTTGAGAAGTAGGTGCAACACAAATATTTTTTGGCATAGCTAGAAAAAGGAGTATTCTTACAAAATACTTTTTTGATGACACAAGGAAATGAGTAGAAATTAAAGTGAAAGAAAAAGGATATAAAATATAGGTATCCCTTGTTCTCCTAATCTCATCTACTCCTGAAAATACGCTGGAGAAATAGGTGAATTTTCAGATACCAGGAAACTTTAGTGCAGGTATTGCAAATGAAAAATGGTACCCAGCCCGTCTAATTTTTCTGAACATCATCAAGTAACTCTTTTTTTTTTGGAACAGGGAATCAAACTCAGGACCTTGCTCTTGCGCAGCAGAAAGCAGAACCTTCATCATCAAATAAATCTTAAAAACCCAAGCAATAACATATCAAGGATTCCTATAAACTAGAAAGCCTTTTAAATATCATTTCATAATTAACACTCCTTTTGCTCATTAGTATATATGTAATAATATGCAATAATATTGAACACAGACATGAATTACCTTCAGTACTGCAGCAAACATATACTGTGATGTAAATATAATACAATGAAATAATATGCTAAAGATATACCCTACTAAGAGTGCCTCAAGGGCCGGGGATTCAGCTCACTGGTTCTACCACCTGCCTCCTAAACACAAGGACCAGAATTTGATCCTGGGTACCAAAAAAAAAGGGTCTCGAGGTATGTGGAGAAAAAAAAAACCACTGGGACTCATGAGGGTAAAACTCTCAGGGAAATACTAAAGGAAGACTAAATATCTAGTTAATGAGAATTCCACAGTCAGAGAAGACACCTCTCCTTTCTATTACTCTACCTAACTGCATGAGATATACAAATGAATGAAAGACAAAACAATCTCAAAATGTTATGCTAAGTGGTATGGTTCTGGTTCATTTTCATCTTTGCCATAGCTTGCTGTTGCCCAAAATGTCCACAGTGATCATTTAAAATAATGTCAATAAATATTTTATAAATAAGATAGAATTAGGGTTTTTTAAAAAAGCCTTTAGACCTGCCTGTCTGCGATCACCCGGCGGTGTGCGCGTGAGCTCCCGGCCTGCGCGGGAGCTCCCGAAATAAAAGACAACAATCTCAAAATGTTATGCTAAGTGGTATGGTTCTGGTTCATTTTCATCTTTGCCATAGCTTGCTGTTGCCCAAAATGTCCACAGTGATCATTTAAAATAATGTCAATAAATATTTTATAAATAAGATATAGA